AATTGGAAACTGAAAATGCCCCTAAACAGTTCAAAATAAATCAAAATATTTTTAAAATGCAAATATAAACAACCACTGAAAATTTCATGTATCTACGGTTATTTGTTTTAAAGTTACACCAAAAACCAAAATCGATTTTTTGGAAAACCGATTTTGCGTAAAAATTCCCGTTTTTCCTTAATTTTTATGTTGTTTTTTCCCGGCGCTCTTGAAAACTACTGGGAAATTTAAATTTTGACCTCCCCAATGCACCAACGATATTCACTTTTCAATCGAACAAGATACTGAAGTCGAAAATCGAAGCATTATTTCGACTACTTATCGTGTACACAGACACAAAAAAAAAAAAAAATAAAAAAAAAACACACATCATTGTAAAATCAATACATTCATCGTTTCACTCAGAATCTAAAACTATATCATCATCATTTAAGTTTGCATTTTTTTTGCCATAATTTTCATGCTTCGTATAATAGGATTTTATAGTGCATTAAAGGCGCACTGCAGCAGGACGCAGGTTATATTAGTACTTATTTAGTGTATTAAGCTATAAGAATAAGATGTGCCATAATGAATGTATTAGGTACCTATATTATTTTAATCGACTATGAACCATGGACCATGTTGACGAGAAGACATTTCGAATTTTCCATATACGTTTATATTATACATAACGTACTTATATAAGTTATAAATTATAACTTATAATTAACGTGGACTCGTTTATTGCGGTGCACGTGTTACCCGGATATAGGGTGCCCCGCTATAGCGTTAAAACTTTTTTAAACCAAAAGAGCATTGCTCGGAACTCCATCTGCGGCGGCAGTCGTCACCCCGCTGCCTCAATCATCCCATCATCACGAATAGTCTTAAAAATCCCCAACACTACACTTACATAGACTGCACGTGTACTCCCGCGGTATCCTTCAGTATATTATATTATATACCATCATATTATAATATATTACGATACGTTAATGTGTTTTAAATTAATGTTTATTGTTATAAATTGTATACAATATATTATGTGGTGGTTTTCGAGTGGCGGTAAATAATGAGTATACAAACTATAATAAACCATATTATATACCGTTGAAGTAATATATGACTATATATAATCGTATAATTACTAGATTTCAGCTGTATGGTTTTTCTAAAATAATTTTATGGTCACAATAACCATTTGAATTTTTAATTTTTTCATAAAATTTAATCGTGCGTCATGATGGTTTCAATCTTTAACGTAGATATAGGTAACAGTAAATATATTATGCTGTCGGTTAGGTATAGGTAGTAGGTACGTAATTATATTCAGACTACAGCGTGATTATTTTAACGTAGAAGACACACCACACACATTAATACCTTATTTCGAAAAAACTATTAACATTTTTGAAAATATTTATTTTTTAGTCACTACAAAATAACATTTTTGAAGGAAAAAAATGTTATTTTACTATTTTTATAGTTTTAATTTCTTCAGTTTTTATTTTTTTGAACGACAACATATTACATTTTTAATTTTATATTCCTAAGCAGCATATTTTTCACAGTATTTGTATGAGTACAAAACTACAAGCTACAAGTGTTGGTATTATCTATTTAGTAAACGGCTAGACCGCTATATTTTTAACTATAAAATCGTTTGAAATTCGATTTTTATGACGTACCTATCAAAATTGCCTGGAAATTATTCTGCTTTAGGATATCTTTGGGATATAAAGTTAAAAATATACGTTATTGTCATTCAACAAAGCAAACGTTTTAAAAACAATAACGGTAAAAAATACATAGTACTTACTTATAAACTATAATTTTTTTCTATAAAAATTTAAAATATTGTCTTGTTATGATTTCAAATTGAATAAAATAATATTTTTAAAAACTTTGATAGTTTTCGAAATAATGATAGTACCTATATATTATACTCCGTTAAAAAAAAATCATCACGTCAAAATAATATACAGCATTATAGCCACAAATAGATGTATCCCCGTACCTATACATATACCGGCCAAGGTAGGTATTGTGATAGTCGCGAGAACCGAACTGATATACGATCGACCGCGGGTTCCTGCACCTGGATTATTATATCCTGCAGCAGCATGCGGTTACCAATATATTTGTTTACGCCCACAGTCATATAATCTTCCTGCACCGAATGAGATTTATGAGATCTACGAACGATTAATTTTTAATAATTATTATACACGGACATAATATTATATAGACGCACGTATAATAGGTTAGGTCCAGGTGCAGCAGCAGTGCACAAGGGGCGCTCGTCTGCATCTACAGATTAAATCTTTAACGGGTTGGAATCATGACGCAAATAGACATAAACCAAACGAAACCAAGAGAATAATTTACGCATATAGGTACCAGAGAAACAAAACAATAATGGTGCTTTTCAAAGTGTGTTTATGAAATAACATTTAATTCGTCTAAAATTCAGTGCAGTATGGTATCATCGACCTGCAATCTCTATATATCTATAGTTTTAAAATTATTCTTTTAATCATATTTGTTTATTTTTGTAAATGATTTGAATTCTACATATGTTAGAGTTCGGAGTTACCGAATGACGATTGGAAGATGGGGAGACGTTAAAATTATATTTCATATTATTGAAATATGTTTCATCTATCTACGGGGTCTGTGAGGGTGCGTCTTGCCAGTTGACACCCTCTCAGAGTATCAGACGTAACTCGTAAGTACCTATAATAATGATGATAATAATATTATCAATTATATACATAGGGATATGATATTATGATGTACACAGTATACGAGATAGCATTCCGCGGGTAACAACGAATCATATTATTATTTTTATGGCGGCGTCGCGTTTCCGTCGCGCGACCGTGATTCACCGACGGATGCCGCGATAGAGACCGAACACGAAAACACGTGTCACAAATTATTTTAATGAAAATAATATACAGTACAGTAGCATTGTGAGTATATTATGTTACCCGTACCGCGTCTCTTACGACGATTATGCAGTAAATTTAAATTATAATCGTACATAATGTATAAAGGTATTTGTATGTATATGCGACCGATGCGTTGTTGCGAAACGACCGATTTGTAATCATATAGTGCGGTAGGTATATATGAGGTCATTGTATGACTGATCTATTTTATAACACACCTCGTTTGCCCTAAATAATTGAGGCCTATACAACAATATTCACGGCCCCACTCCTTGAACAACGGCCTGTTCAAATATTGTCCGATGTTACGTTTTTAAAACAACAATCGTGTCGAATCGTAATTTATTAATTCTTGTCGAACTTTTATACAATTTTTACAGTTCGACCGAATTTAGACAGTATGTAGTAGGTACGTTATGATATACTTAGTTACTTATACAGTTATGGCATAGCCGCAAATAAACTTAAACTCTAATGGTGAATATACTGTAAATTTGTAAATAACACTCACGACTCACCTAGATATTATAAAATTATATTTGTGTATAACCAGCATAGACTATATATTTTTATCATATATTATTGTTTATCATACTGCACTTGGCTATTATTGTTAGAGGGGGGGAGGGGCAAAAATTAATCACAAAATGATTAGTTGGTCCTCTCATTATTTTTTCGGAGGGGGCAACTACCCCCCCCCCCCCTACCAAATATTTTATACACTTATACATTTTAATATAATATGCCTCATAATTATGATATATTGCAGTGTATTGCTCCTAGACTGCAATAAAACGGTTATCCGACACATTTTGTAAACCAAAATAAAAATGTCCAGATTACCAAGCTCAAAAACGATGGGATGATAATAATATATTATTTTTTATGCAATGATTGGGTGGACAATAACTACGAAACAAGTTTTGAATAACTGTCTAAACGTCGCTTGTGCTCGTTGGTACTCGCGGGTTGAATATTTAGGTTATAGATAATCTTTAATCGTGGTAGGTACCGACAAAAAATCTTATAGAAATCATTTATATTATTATCGATTACACATGGCTCGGTATCACCGTACAACCATAACCACCCTTCATATCCGCATCCACACGATCAAGCGTTTAATTATTATTTTTTGTTTGCATTACAAAAATACCTACAGTGAACTGTGAAGTCGAGAAGAAATAATAATAATAACAACAACAACAACAATATCGATAATGGACGATGACGATGAAAACGAAAACGACCAAAAGGTGAACGGATATCGCGACCCGACGACGTCGCGAACTGCGTCACATCTTTAGCGGCCGTTGAATATAATAATATTATAATAAGCAGTGACCGATCTCGCTGCGGTAGTGAACGCTGTAATTCTCGACGATGACCGCGAAAACATAAATCGAAAACGCATCGTAGTAGTTGTACTGTTGTAGAAGTATTAATAGTAGTTGTAGTAGTAGTATACTAGTATAGTACTAATATCAGTAGTAATATAGTAATAATACTAGTAGTAGTAGTAGTAATAGTAGTACTGTAGTAGTAGTAGTAGTAGTAGTAGTAGTAGTAATAGTATTTTCGTGCAGTATTTATTAAAATGCAGTACCGCGAGCCGCGAAACGGTTACAGCGGGGCGGCCGTGTTGTCTGACGGTGCGCAGAGCGCGCGTCGGTCGTCGATTTCCCGCGCAAAACTGGTCGGGGCAACACTGTGAGCCGGCCGCCCGCCCACCGGGAACGAACGACACAGTCGAGCGCGCGCGCGACCGTTATCCAACCGACTGAATTTCAAATTCAAAATCGTCAACGACCGCCGAGCAGCAGCCGCCGTCTCGCCGTCGCCGTCCTCGCGAAAACCGAACAGTTTATTTATTTTTTTTACACCCTTCGAAAAAATATTTTTAAACCGTCGTTTTTCGCCGTCGCCATCCACCGACCTGCTCGAGGACTCATTCCCCGGCACACGAAACACGTGAACGCACGGGTTTCGTCGAGCGATCGTATTTCATCGTTGTCCAACGGGGCGCGGGCAAGCAACAAGCCACCAGCACATCAAAAGTCAGCCATGGTGTTGTCGGACGTGAACGGGAACGGTAAGAAATCGGCGGCCGAACGGTGGCTGAGACAGCGCAACGGGCAGCGGGCGTCGGCTGTCCGGTGCATATTCGGACCGCCCGAGAAACGGGCCCATCTCATGGTGATCATGCGCAACGAGGCGGAAATGGAACGGAAGAGGATCGAGTTCGCTGCCCGATACGAGCCGGTTGGCATGTCGCCGAACGAGCGCCGCAACTTCTTCTCGGGACTCATCAAATCGCCGCCGACATCGTCGCACCATCATCACGGCAACGGTGAGTAGACATATGCGTTAGGTACTGAGATCGTTGGCGCGAAAACATGGCAGCCGCGCGCTATCGGAGCTAGGTATATAGATTTCGCGGTGATGGCGAGTTATTATTGCGGCTTGCGCCGAGTTGCGGGTGGCGGGCGCGTCGGCGGCCGTTAATTTTCGTTCGTTCGTTCGGGCGGGAAGGTAGCCAAACGCGCGGGAAAAAATCGGAACGCATCCGACCCGATCTCGACGACCGGCCGACGATTATTTTGATAAATTCAACAATAAGAACATATTATTCTTGACGAGCGGATATTGTGCCTATTAAAAATGTTAAGCATAATATATTGCTCATGACTCGCCTATCCGTCCGGCGTTCCCGGCCGATTGATCGATTTGGTGCGTGTTTACTGTTTATTCGGTAACGACACAATTATTATGTAATTATCGCCGACCGACCACTGCGGATTACGAAACGTTTTAACAAACAAACAATCGGCGCGTTTATGACAAGTAATAATATTATTTATCGTCAGTCGGCCGCGCCAAACACGTGCTCTCTTGGTCCCCACACACACCTGTTGCTGCATATAGAATTCGTCCCTTCGAAGACCGTTTTGGGTTCGCGTCTTCCATGTCGGAAAACCGACGGTGATATTTTATCGTGCTAAGACGATGTCTGTCTGTGTGTGAGTGTGATGCAAAGGCCTCGGTATCTCGCTATATCCGTGAGGTTAGGTGTCGTCGTTGTGGTCGTCGTGGTCGTCGTATTACGTAAGCGGTAAACACGTATCGCGGCATTCGAGGTTAATATTATTTTTATTGTTAATATTAGAAATTTTAGTCTTACTGAACAAACAAGATGGTTACATCCGAATGTGTGGTTTGTGTGTATGTGTGTGAACGTGTGCGCGCCCGAGGTGAACTTTTGACGACATCATAATCGCGATAACCACAAAATAATAAAAATTATCAATAAATTACCACACAAGGCGCGTTATGCCGTATGTATGGAAACGACAGGTCGGAAAAAAATTGTATTTAAAATGGAGGGAGATTGCGGTCGTGCGCGTCCGAACGAACCACGGGCGTCGGCCCCGCGGCAGGTCCGCGTGCAGCGGTGGTAGTGTGTGTAAGGCGTACGCACGTATTTTGCCGCCAAAACCTCTACGGTAGTCGCCCGCCACATCTGCCCGGCTCGGTAATCCGACATGATAATATATTATATTATAAATTATACATGTTGTATACGATACATGGTCTCCGTCCGGATTGAAGTAAAAAAAAAAATCCTTTTTTTATGATTTTAGGTTAGGTATAATAATGGTTGTGAGTGTGTGTGTGTGTGTGTGTGTCGGTAGGTCGGCGTCGATATTGAGGTCGGGGGGTGCGGCGGGGGCGAGGGTCGGTTGAAATTTTAAAATGCACGAGACGTGCGCCGCGCAACGACGATCGATATAATATACGACCGGTATAATAAACGCGCGTTTTTCATTCTTCGCGCTCGACCGAAATCGAACGTGACACTTTTGAAAACCGGTATTTTTTTCGAAAAAACGTACAGCGACGAGACGACGTGTCATCGTGTCCGTAAATGGACGGCGGGAGTTTTTTTCTCCTAAAACTATTGCTGCGTACACATACAATAATATTATACATTCAGTCGTTATTTTTATCGTACACCCGGATAAACTCCTCGTACCGGAGTCGCCGGAATAACATTAAAAAGCACGCACACTCGTAATAACTTGTGCCAGCGGTGCACGTGTGTTGGTTTTCGAAAAAAAAAACCGAACGACTTGTACGGCGAGCTCAGATTTATTCAAGGCCTCCGTCGGTGGTGGTGGTGGTTGTGGTGGTGAATGGTGATGATGATATTATTATTATGTGATATATACATGCGCGAAAGAAACGTTTTACGCGGTGACAAAAAATTGGCGGGAAACGTGTCCGTAGCACGCGCTCCGCGTAAAAAACCCAACTCGAATAATATAACAACAACGACGTTTAGTGGAAAAAAAAAGCGTCGCCAGCGGACGACGAAAGGGGAAAACTGGAGAAAAAAACCGCATGCAAAACGGGTTTTGGACGGCGCGCGGCCAAAAAACACTAATCGGCCGAGCGGTGTGTCCCTGTCGCGTCGCCGATATCACACGCGGCCGCGCGCGGAGAATGTCTCCGCCAAGGCCGTTTAATAATGCGCCGGCGACACGGCAGCTACCGTTTCGTCGGTGTGCGCGCGCGCGCGCTCGTAAATATAAATTGGGCGGGAAACAAGCGACGTGCGCTAGAATATTATTATTATTATTATTATTATTATGTTTTATGATCGTCGTCGTCGCGTACACCTCTCTACGCGATCGACGCAACCCGTAATAACGAGTATTATTATTATTACTATTATTGTCGACGAGTTTTTTTCCTACCTGCCGCCGACCTACGCCTCCCCCACCGTGTCCCGCGCGCACCATCTCATCTAGATTAGAGTGAAAGAGTGCTTTGTAGTGAGAGAGAGGGAACGCTCGCGCGCGCGTATAATGTTTGAATTATCGTTTTTTTTTTTTTTACGAATTTCGGTTTTTTTTTCATTCTGTTCGACGAGATAAAATATAATAAAAAAACGTCGTCGACCGGTTTACGTTTCGACGAAAACGAAAATAATATAAAATATTACTACATTAAAATACGCTCTTACCGATGTGTGCATACAAATAATAATAATTATGAACATTACGACTGACGGTGACGGTGTGACGAAACCAACTGTTGGATTTCCACCCAATCGAAAAACTCGATCCGCGGCGGATTTCCTCGTATCGCGCGCGACTGCCACTACACAATTCGTAAAATTAAAAAAAAAAATCTATATTATATTACTATAGTACGATAATATTATAATTATTATTATTTATTATGTGATACTGTTATCGAGCAGTTTTCTCTCTTCGCTTCGGTACACGACGCGATGTGTTGCAACGCACAAGCGATAACATTTTTTTTATTATTCCGTTTGCGCGTCGTCGTCGTTTATCTGCAGCAGCCGCGGCCGTTCTCGGCCGATTATTATTATTTATTACGTCTAATATAATATATATGCATTTGACATGTATTATAATACATTATATTAATATTAATAATAATTATGATTGTGTTATACTTTTATCGTGTACAATTTTTTTTCACGACGATAAGTTTTTTTCTGGTCGTAACACGTCGTCGTTTTCCAGATAAACAATCAGATTTGGGTTCTCGGAATCGGATGGATGATGATGACGACCTATCGGTCTGTTGTGTATTATTGTTACATTTTTTTTTTATCATAGACAAAATAATAATTGGTCGTTTAACCTTGAAAAACAATAATACAACATAATGGCCTGTTTCGAACCGCGGTCTTTGTAGCTTGTTCTAGAAAACGTTCGTTTCCGCGCTCCGCCGCCGTCCTCTCGCCTATATTATAATATTTTGTCACCGCGCACACCATTTATAAAACATTAAAATTTCGACCGACCGTCCGCGTCGTCACGACTCACGAGTACGTAATATGTATATTAATATAGTTTTCGCTTCGCTCTCTTTCTCTACAGCCATTTGATATTATCATTCCGATTTCAGGCAGACCGTATTTACATATTTTTTTTTCTCGACATAATTGCACCTCGTCGTCGTAATTACACGCACAATTTGTCCGACTCGCGGGCCTGAAATCTAATGGACGTTGTATACGACATTATATTATGTATAATAAATTAATAAATATTCCTATCAGCGTGTGTCGCAATCGATAATGTCGATAATCGTTTGCAACCCTTTGTAGTATACTAGTATATAATAATATAATGCATATCCCAAATTCCCAACAATAGAAGTAGGATACAAGGAAACAGGCCGCCGGACCAGATTGCCGAATATTATTCGTTTCGATGGATTTCTTTTGTCTTCGCATACAAAACGCATTTGAACGGTTATCGCGGTGTCTTCTCTTATTGGCCGGGCAGAACAAGAAAAAAATAGACAAAAGGTTATAACCGTCACAAAGGTCTAGGTCATAGATAAACGTTTTGTTGTTGCGCCTATGCCGATGCTGCCTAACTGCTTCGTTTCCTCTCGAATTCCGTAGGTACATACCCTACTAATCCGTTGGGTGTAATATGATAAGTTATATACATGATATCAGTATAATATATTATTATGTACTATTGACAAGACCGTTCGTAAAACTTGATGCGATAGCAAAGAGAAAAATTGATCTTATACCTCTCGAGAGGGGGGTTTGTGGTGAGGGGGAGGGTAGTTTCGAGACTATTTTATTTTAACTGTCCTGCGCCGGAGAGACGTACCACGTCTGTGAATAGATCTATATATCCATCCCCGATAAAGCGTTTCATTCGGAAACACAATAGCGAAATGCTCGTCGCTCCCTATACACTGCTACCAGCAGCAGTATTATATACAAGTGCAGTGTGTGTGTTAGATAAGACATACACACACACACGCGCATATAACCTGTTGCCACGGAGGACAAAAGATTAAAAAATAATAATAAATAAGTAAACATCCATATCCTTCTCACAAGGATTTAGTCGGAGAAAAAAATTTGCAGATGGTGAACGCGTACACACACACACATACACATACACCATACAACAGGTGGTTAATTTGCAGTCGAGCAGCTGCTGCTGCCGCGGAGGACGTTAAAAACGAGTAGATTTTTTTTCTCGCCCACCGTTTCTTTTCCATCGTATGTTACGCGTGCACATATATACCATGATATATAATATACAGCGTGTTTCCTGCGTTTGCGGATGTGCTCACCGCAGAACACGCGTCATTAGGATTAGGTCATCTCTGCGATTCCCGGTACAATGCACAGTGCACACGCGTATATAGTTTTTTCGTATTTCCGTTTATTATATGTATTCCGTATTTTTGAAAACCCCGCGTTCGGCTTCGTATAATATAAGACTACACGCGTATAATATCGCGAAACCATATAATTTTCTACACTGCAAATCTAAATATCTAATACAGTAAATATTATGCATTTTATACAATATACAACGAACGTTATACGTTTCCGTTGCGGTCTCCATAGCTTTGCTGAAACTGCAGGCGAGTCGTCTTGAAGGGATTGTGTTTGAGTGTTTAAGTCTTCAGACTTGTGTAATAAAATCACCACTCGACCATGCCTCTCCAATCTCCAGTCGTTATTGCATTTCAACTGGTTATTTTCAATCTATTCGTACTAGGTTCTCCACAGTCCACAGCAAGTCTATAGCAGCAGGCTGGGGATCTTTGGTAGTTAGGTGCAAATAATCGAATTTTTGACGAGTGGAATGGAGCAGTGTAGTATAATTGATATCTACCCCACAAAATGTTGGTCCATGGACCACTACTCCGCTCATTGAAATTTTATATATAGGTACTTATAAGTTATAAATTATAAATAATAAACTATACTTGTCCAAAATTTGTTTTATATAAATCTAAATACTCCGAATAATATTCTGTTTCGTATACGTTGTTATACAAAAGACTAAAAGAGTAAAAAACTTAAAAAACATAATTTTTTTGTAATAACTTATAATTATGTAAAAGGAGTACGTTAAAATAATGAGTGTCTCTGTCTCACGTTAAATTGATCACCCCGTGTCCCCGTCTATTAATTATTGTACCTGACACTTGTAATATTAAGAAAATTACCGTTAAGGAAAAGTGATTAAGTCACCGTTTTCCCGCTGTGTAATAATACTTCTAAGTTACAACTTTATACGTACCTACATTATAATATTATAGGTCGTTTTCGACTATTGTAAAATTATAGATAAACTAATAGTATTGACACAATTCAGATGAATAATATATAGTTTCGTATATATAAGTTGACTTAGGGCCGCTTTCACCAATACTTTAAACTCCGATTAAAGTTAAACCGGGGTTTAATCGGCCGAATTTGCCCGGTTAAATATCTGTTATCAGTCGATTAAGCGTAATCGAAGTTTAAAGTATTTGGTGAAAGCGGCCCTTAATGTCTCGGGTTCTATATAACTAACCTAACTGTACTATGTACTTAATACTTATATACCGATACAATTAGTATTGTTTCACTGTTAAAATTTAACAAACATATTATATCGGCGTCGATAAAGGTTTTTTTTCCATATTAGCCGTATTTATACAGTAATTTAAACATTAACGTTTTGATGTGTTTTATTTTTTTGTCAATTTCTTTAGGCATCAGGGTCAAAAGTTTCGTTTCGCTGTAAAATAAACAATTTAAATAATAATATATTATCATCACCGCGACCGTAAATATTAAGTGCGTTGTAAATTAAGACAGTTAATTTTTTTTTTATGATAATCTGTCACTCAGAAAGCAAATAGATACATTTCATATGATGGTCTTTTTCATAGGCGCAATTTGGGGGGTGCTTGGGGGTGCTTAGCACCCCCAAAATTCATATTAGCACCCCCAAATTTTCAACAGCATCATTTAATTGTTATTGGTTATACACGTATTATGTCATAGACAACAGGATAAATTAATTTCTAAGATTTGACTTATATAATAATAATATTTCACTCGTATTTTTCGAATTGTTAAGTCTGTGCGACTGTGCGACGTACATGTAACGTGTTTTATTGTTTATCCTCATTAACTTCCTATATTTAATTTAATTTAAATTATATTTAATTTTATTTTAATTACCTACTCAAGTTGTTATTGTTTTTAAATTTTATTCTGGAAAATACTAAAAATATTTTTAGTATTTTCAATTTTGAAAAAAAGTCAAAAAATGATTATGATAAACACCAAGAAGTAAGTTTTGATATTTATTAAATGAAATAATAAATAATTTTGCTATGTCTCAAAGGCATATATCTTTATTATAATATTCAAATGAAAATAAAAAAACGTATTTACCTGTATTATATATTTATTTTTCAATATTAATAATTATTGATTAATCAGGTAGTATTATGAATGCATGAATGGTGTTATGAGGGGGGTGGGGGGCGAAGCCCCCCACGGGTTACTTTGGTCCACATAAATCTAGCACCCCCATAAATTTAGCCCAAATTGCGCCTATGGTCTTTTTCTAAATGCTTTTAATACAATATAATAATAATAATCGCGTGTAAATAATTATGTTTTTTTCTCTACTATTATTATTATAAAATCGAACTAAATGTCATCTATAACACCACTTGACGCCGTTGTATTATGTATACAGTCTATTATTTTTAATGTATTTAAATAAAAAAAAAATTTTAGAACGTTCAAAACGTCAACAAGCCGTGTGCATCGTAATAACAATAACTCGTGTAACAACATATCACTCACATTTTTTTTCTCTCCATATTATCTATATACGTAAATACGATTTTACATACTATTATTATTATACGCATTATTATAATTATGTTGTACAATTATAATAACTTCTTATCGAAAAAGAACGGAGATAAACCAATATATGCATAAGCACACGCGCGTATATTATAATAATATAATATACGTATCATAGTAGAAAAAAAATTATTCCCTACATAAAATTTTATCATATAATATTATGTATATATTGCTATCGGCTAATACGGAAAAACGTCCCAAAGTCCAAAGTGCGCGATATTTGAATAACGGAGAATCGCCGTAAACATGTATCGTAAATACAGTTGGTTTATGGACGTTTAAAAAAACGCGTAAGGTACTTGCGCCACAATTAATCTCGTAATGTCAAGGATGAAGCCGTCGAAAAATGATCGCTCGTGCTCGTTATAACAAATCAGCGTACAATAAACCAGCGCAACGTGCTCGAACGCGGAAACGGCCAATTTTGTGGTTTATCAATGATTCCGCCGGCGTTTTACCTATACACGTCGTAATTTACGGTACACGACGAATGAAACAAAGCTGTTTGAGAGATTAATTATAATTATAATAATGCGATAAACTACCTATACTATAATATAGGCCGGCGAATGCGTGTTGCATAAGCATAACCGTCGTCTTCGGTGTCACAATACCATCATGTCATCCGCGCGGTGATATATTATTATTATTATTACGACCGTCGTGAATTGTGATCTGCATTACAACAAGGCCTATTGATAAAATATATCAATTTTGAATATTGTTATTTTATTTTTAACAGCCATTCATTGTATTACATTGTATGTCAAATTGCATGAACTATGATATTATAATATAATATAATATACCGATCTCGGCTGAAACATCGATGACTTTTAAACCTCCGTCATCCGTTGTTGTATATTAACGTTACTAAAAAATATAACGGGACCGTAAATTTGGACGCGGCAAACGGGCAAATATTATTTATTCGTTTTTATTTATCTTCCGTGTTTATTAGGCGATTAAATTTAACCGTGACACCGCCGTGTCCTGCTTTCGTTCTATCAGATTTCGGTGGTCTCCCTCGGTGCTACGGAGTAAAGTGCAAAAGTCATCGTGCGCGTGTTTATCATTCGCAAATATCATTAAAATCTCGTTTCCTATATATAATAATTATTAGGTACAACACTGCGTCGGACGGTTGATTGTCATCTGCGACATTTGACATTTAACGGTTTATACCAGCCCGGAAATTACAAACGCTGAGGAAAAACAAAGTTCTACGAACGCGCAAGCGTAAACGACACGCCGTAAATTATTTAATTGTATAACGACGAGTTGTTCGCAATACGGCCGGTGCTCCGTCGAGTAAATAATAATTGCTTTAATTAGGTATTTATTTAATCGGTTGAAATTATTGACCAAACAGTAAAGCGTGCGTATTAAAGTACTATGTATTTAATCCAAAATTGTTGGGTCCTGCGTGTTAAAATTTTTAATTACTGGTTCAATTAATGTTTTAAAAAGACAAACCTATCTTTGAACAAAGTTCAACTAAAATATCATGTTATAACAAAGCGAAAGCGTGTACAATTTTACTCCCCATACGATATAAAAAATAAATGTTTAAAACTGAAAAATGTGTTCTTAAATGTTGTATGATTTTTGATTTCAGAACATAATACAAAAAATCCTAAAGCCGATAACCGCAACAACTACTTCCAACAGCAGCAGCAGCAGCATCACTATCGCCAGCAGCAGCAAAAGAACAATAGTTTCAATCAACCATCCGACGACGAAAGAAATTGACTACGAAATCGACCAACTATTGTGCGGGGGAGGGGGGACGTATCATAAATCGTGATCGATATTATATATAGTGTTACATTGTACCTAATTCGCAACGATCTCTATAGCCCCACACCTCGTACAACATCATAGAAAAGACCATTTTGTCCTTTTCCTTCTACGTCTGTCTACGTCACGAATCGTCTCATTTGTTGCACGAAATCCGTGCGTAATTTAGGTTTTTGGGTATATAATCGGGTTATTATTATCTAATACTTTTATATAATTAAAAGTGTATTCATTTTTTATTTCATTTTTGTTCCGTTCTAAGTGTTCGTGGAGCACAGGTTGTTGCGAGTTTTCCAACGACTACTTTGTACCTATTACATTTTACTACCTACTTTAATATTGTTAGACTTCTAGAAATTTTTGACGCGCGTTTATTGTAACCGTATACGCATCATTGTTTTTATTACATTATATTATATGGTGCGATTGTTGTCCTAGTTTTGCGCCTACACTACCATAGAAAATATTGTGATGCTCGCATGTGCATGTAAAATTAATGTTATGTTATATTAATACGAGTGTTAAGGAACAAAAAAAAAAAAAATGAGAAAACATTCGGCAAATTAATATTTTTACAACTTTACAATCGTTTTGAGTAGTGTGTGTATGTGTGCAACAACGTGCGTAATAATTTATTCACTCCTTGCATCTGCACGAACTCAGATAGAAGAGGTCAATAAAACTATAACAAACAACTCGGTTCAACTGTAGAATCGAATAATAATCGTAAAATCATTTAATTTTATTACGCGTTGTACTTTTTTGTCTCGTCTTCGCGTACAACCGTCAAGCTAGACCAAAAAACGCTGAGATTTTACATTATATATTTAATTTATATATTTTTTTTTAAACACATTTACTCCCTTCTCTCTCCTCTCTTTTAAAATGTATTCATCACCAGATACTCAATTGCAGCTATATATGACTATAAATATATTAGCTGTTAAAGAAATATTATATGCAATATAAATGCTAGTCCAATTTGTTACGGTGAGAAAAAAAATATTTATGCGTTATTAAAGTAATGTATATTATATATATACATTAATGAGATTATTATATATTTATTTACAAATATTATTATTATTATTATTATTTAATTATTATATTTTTTTTTTCTAATCGATGAATTCACGATTTTAATATGAATATATTTATATAGATACCTATTATTATTTTATATGGTTATTTGCTTGAATATTAATATAATATACAATCATAATAGACATTTTTTATTAGACATGAACACTGATTTTTATTTGCGACACAATAACTATTATTATTATTATTTTAATTTTGACTATTTGAACTATTTAAATTATTATTAAAAATTAGACCGATATTATGTTTAGATTGTAAGTAGTATATATTTATAGAAAGTAGTATGTAGAAAAAAATATAACACGTGGAAAGTGTCATTGAGATTTATATTATTATATTACATACGTTGGTGTTTGACGACAAAATATATTAACAATATTTTTTTGTGTTTTCAATAATTGTTTGGTTTATTTATATAGTATCATAACTGTACCTATACGTATTACTACAATACTAGCGGCGGTGACGTTTCCCTAGAGACAGTGTTTTCCCTCAGAAAGTTTGTCGCCGTCTTTTTTTCCGGTCACGTGACCGTGGGACTCACAAGTCGCGCCTGTTGAGGAGATAAAAAAATGAAAATAAAAAAAGTGTTATGCACGTGGGTACGTGTGCTTAACTGAGGGTCGGATGCGTTTCCGCGAGTATAGGCTCTCAGTAAGAAAAATAAGAAGCAACAGCAGCGGGTAAGCGGCGAGCTAGGCTCATCGCTCAACGTGTGTGTACACAAAAGAAAAAACACCTTCACGCCCGTATTTTATATATTATATTATTTTTTTCCTTAGGTCGTGGTCGGAGGAGGAAGTGCGGCCGTGGTGTGTATAATGTATATACACTAGGTGTATATATAATACACGTGCAGTGCACGTTTGTGAAAATATAATAATAATAATAATAAATGTATAAGTTAAAGAAGAAGTATATATAGCCGACTACAATGGGTCGCCTTCTCCATCCGTGTGCATTCGGGGAGATGACAAAACACATGACGTCCGCATCCGGTCGTACGCGCGCGCCCGTTATGAGTGTGATGACGTGTGTGTGTGTGTGTGTGTGTGTGTGTGTAATATACGCCAGCAGTTGACGGTAAGTCACACGGTGTGTGTGTGTATTTAAGGTATATAGACCGGGCGCGCGTATCCGGTTTTGCGGTCTGCGGTGACATCGTCGTCTTCTCGACCGTACGACGTCCGCCGCGAAATAAATCTCTTCGTCGTCGCGTCCCATTAATTATAATCAAAAAATAATAACATTACTCGAGTTCCCCTCGTGCACGTCGCACACACACGTGTGTGTCGTGCCTATACTCCTACACCGGTGTGCGTGTCGGTCGTATATACGGATCCGCCCGGTGTACGTTTCGGTCGCTGCGAATCGTATTTAGGGCGCGACTTATATAATATTATAATATGTCTGTACACCTTATGTACGTCGTACATCGCATCCGATGATGTGTCGTTTATGTGTCTTGCGTCGGTAGATCTTAACTTCTGTCTAAAACGGTTTTTTTAATATTTTGTAGCTGTTGGGATGTGGTATAAAGGGTTTGCGGGCCTTTGCCAATACACAATGATTTAACACCAGTAAAACATGCTTTATAACCCATAATTTAGTGTAGACTATACTCGAATGTTATGCATCGTAACATGCGATTATTAATGTACGTATATTATAGACTTGTACAGTGTTAGTGTATCCAATTTTCCTATATTAGAAATGAAAATTTAAAAAATCAAAACCGGTAAAAGGCGCTGTTTATGTCCACAATATAATGTTATTATGTAACGTATACAGTTCGAATTTAAATGTGTATATTTATAGTCAACTGATATTTAATGATTGAACGGAGAAACTTTAATAAAAGTTGTTTTCACCTTCATAAATGCTGTATACATCCTGAAAATACCTAATACCTATAGTATATTACACTTATTTCATGTCGTTATCTCAGTCCATTTTATATAAAATGACCATCACCGCCAGACCGGACAACAACGATAAAACAATTACCGTCCACGAACATATTTTTGCATACTTACGAGTATTTATAGACTATAGAGGTGGGCTTACGTTAACCGTGGTATAAGTGAGACTGGCGGAGAGTATGGTTTATCGTCATCTGTGATTGCGACCGCATTTATGTAGACATTTTGGCGTCTACTATGACATGGCTTCTTTGTCCATTAAACACATTTACCGCGACCGGACACACAACTAAGTACGTGCATTGTACAATACTCCTGAAGGTCTACTTATAACGCAATTATAAGTAATCTGCCAAACATATATTATACACACATTATACTAATATTTATTTTTATTTCATCACAGAACTGATTGTGGCCCCGAGTAGATAACTACGTATATTGAACATTTTAAATAGGTACACAAATACTGAAATACAAATTTAAGTCAAACAAAATATGTAGGTATACACTGAATAAACAATTCAAATTATTCATAAATTTAATATAAACGATGAGTGAAGGGTCCTTGTTGGCTACGCGCATCATCCTGTAAATTGCAGGTAGATAGGTATAACGGGAGTATATAATAAGTATTCAGTGGCGATATAAAGAAAGGATAAAAAGATTGAGACTGGAAGCATGGAGGTTTGAAACTGACTATTGTTGGGAGTAAATTGTGCTTAAAATGTCCTTTTCATATTGGTACCAATATTGCTGTCGTATGTTATTTTCTGCGGGTTGATAAATCAACTCCGCTCAATAACAGCACATAATAATATTTATTTTATTTAATAGCACATAATATCATTATTTTTAATGGAATACAATGAACATGATTACAATTAAATAAATCACTATTATAATATTATTCTATATTTTTATAAAATGTTTTTTTTTATGATTTAATAAAACATTTTCTTATCATAATAATTATAATCTAACAAATATATGCATTAATATATGATTGTTAAATATAAGCAGTGGCGGACTGGGAGATTGTCGGCCCAGGGGGAAATACAGCTTAGCGGCCCTAAATATTTTACTATATTATTACTATTTCAGTTGTGATTTTATAAATAATATGAATGTTTTATTACTATAATTTAAAATAAATGTAAATTTTACTTGTAGAACTATTTTAAAAAAAAAGGTGGGCAAGTGGGTGTCGCTCTGCTGTACGGTAGGTTACAAGTGGGTCCACTGTATAGTGGATGATATTAAATTTGAATTCAACGATATAATATCATTGTATAAGAAAAACAATTCTGAGCGGAGACGGTATGTCAGTCTAAGTATAAGACATATTATATACATATCTATGGTACTAAACTAAAATTTGACCTATAATAGGTACCTATAATAAATTCCAAATTAATCATATCACAATATCCATTAGGTACTTATAACGCGTTAAACATCAACAAAAACCGTGATACTACCATAGATATATAATAGTACAATTTAGAAGTTTCAAGTACTCACGAATAACATAATTCAATCACAACAAAATAACTAAAATAGTTATTCTAGGTTTTTTATATGTAATTTCGTCCAAATTTGAATTTAAAATGTCAGTAAAAAATAACTGTGTTCATATATTTTTTAGATTTTTTGGTTACAGTACTATTAATGTCTAATGAGAACCTTTGTTTTAAATTTGCAATCCTTAGCTATAAAAACTGAACATTTTATAATTTATTAATTACAATGATTGATAATTTTCGAGATTTTGATAAATTTTGTCAAAATTCGATCTTTAAATGCTTATAAAAAAAAACTGTGCATATGTATTTTTAATATTTTTCAACTGATATTGTAACAATATATCAGGAGAATTGTATTAAATTTTTTCACTCTTTGGCCCAACAGATAAAACTTTATTGATAT